CATGTATACAAAATCACATCAAATATCCAATGTAGCTCAAGCCGATCTAGGGATGTTGTGAATTCCAAAATAAGGTCTCCTTACCTGAAAATAGCCCAATCAACTAGGGTGAGTAACTTGCATTACTCGTAGGAAAAGAATATGCGTATAACCTCAAGTTTTAATGAATTTGCAAGTTAATCGGATTCACACGAATCATGCCACCTAACATCTAAGTTCAAAGGGAAAGGATAAGGACATCCTAAAGCTACATTTGAATCATGAAACATACCATCCACAACAAGTAAACTTAATAAGTTACAACTTCAAAAGTAATGTCAACTTGTAAATGAAAGCGAAATCAAATAATAAGCATATATTTGCAATGACAACTACCACAAAGCTAGTAGGGGAACAAGGTATACACCACTTTAACAGCTACAAAATAATTTGCACATAGACTCCACTATGTTGCAACTCACACATACAACTCTACCTAAAAATAATTAGATAATGAAATATTTAAAGAAAAAAAATTCTATAAAACTCTACCTAAAATTACGTATTTTATTTCTATAAAACTCTAACACAAATTACCTATTTTATTTAGTATTTCAGTATTTAATTATTAATATAAAAAAATATTTATTAATTGACATAAAAAGAGTTTTTAAAAAAGTTATTATGAGTTTTTATTTTTTTTAATTAATATATGGTGTTTAGAAGAGTTTCTATAAAACTTAAATTACCTGTATATTATAAGGTTTTTAATAAAAGGAAATCTAATTAAACAAGGAAATATTTAAACAAAATAAAAATAATTTCTATAAACTCTACCACAAATTACCTATTTTATTATCTATAAAACTACATCATATCATATATATATAGGGTGACGATATTCACACTCCACTTTTCTCCAGTTGCACTACATTTATCATTTTCTTTTAAAAGAAATGACAAGATAGTCCTTGAATTCATTAATGCATAACTCCTTAATTTATAATGTCATAACTACCCTTTATATAACCTTTTTTTTTTTTTTTTAACTTTCTTTACTTCTTTTTTTCCCATTCTTTAGTTTTTTCGGAGGTCCTCTCAAAGAAAATAAATATTTTAGATTTTTTCCATAGTGACTTTTTTTTTGGTACAATCAAAAAAGATATTTATTTAGCAAAATTGACTCTTTTTTAATTTTGTCAAAAGAGATAACTTTATTTTTTGGTAATTTTTTATGGGTCTTATCAAAAAAATAATTTATTCGATAAAAATAATATATATATATATAAATCATCTTCTTTTTGTACTTTTTATTATTATTATTATTTTTTTTTTTTTTTTTGGGATTTTGACAACAGAGATAATTTATTCAATAAATATATTTTTTTGACGCTTTTTTTTCTTCATGTTAAAAGAGATAATTTTTTAAATGGTTACTTTTATTTTTTTATCAGGCGAAAAGAGGCAATTTATTCAACATAACAAAATTATATATTTTTTGGGTCTCTTGAAAAAAATTATTCAATTTTTATTTTATTTTATTTTATTTTATTTGTGTTATCAAAAGATACTTAAAATATTAAAGATTATAGATAAGGAGAGAAAATATGAAAGAGCAGTTGTATCATTTAAAAAGTAATAATTATTTACTTGTAAAGATAAGGTTAGAATTGTCATTTCATTTAAGATTGTAGTGCAAATATTGAAAAATGGAGTGCGGATATCGACTCCCATATATATAAATATATATTGAGAGAGAGAGATGGGACAAGTGCAAAAAAACACTTGGATTGTTAATTTTTTTCATTACTTTTTTCTTTTTAGAAGCATTATTAATTTTTTTTTCTTTAGTTTTTAATTTTATTTTACTCTTTGTGAGTTAACTTTGGATTGTAAATTTTTTCTGCATTTTTTATTTTTTATTTTTTGTTCATTCTTAATTTATTAGTTTGAGTCAAGGTTTCAATGTTTTTTGTGTTTGGGTTGGACTTGATTTGAATTTGTTGCTGAAAGTTTTTCATATGTTAATTTTTTTTTTTTCTTCTTTTTTTTTTGGTTCAATTTTAATTTATTGTTTTGAGTCATACATCAGGTTTCAAAATTTTTGATGTTTGGGTTGGACTTAATTTTGAATTGAATGTGTTGCTGAAAGTTTTTTATATGTAAAAGTTGTTGGGGAAATTTGAACATAAATATAACACATTATAATCATATCACATAAAATTATTATTCATACTGTAAAAAGAATAAAACATCAAAGGATAATACATCAACATGAACTGATAATAAAACACCTTGGATAATATATTAACGTGAGTAATACATCAATTTGAACATCATGAATATAACAATGAATCATAGAATATTAATCTGTACAATAATATCAACAATAGAAATTAAGATAAGAAAACAATGATAATAAAATAAATAGGAAAGAACTGGCCTGGATAATTAGAGGCATTCAAGCACTGACCTAAAGTCGTATGGCAAACACTGTCCTAAAGTCGTTTGGTCTCCCTACGTGTAGGTAATAACAGTCTAATACGGCTCTAAGATACAACACATATTAGTTAGTGTTCTTCTCCAGACACATCCGAAAAGAGACAATAATGTACTAGTCTTGTCTTCAAAGTTGCCTCAAACTCAATAAAAAATATTCTCACATACACTCAATGAAAAAAGAGATATAATAATTGTTTTTTTTTTATTATTTAAGAATAAATAGGCTAATAGCCTTACACGTTTCTCACACCAAAGTTTCTCTCTCGCATATCCCAAAATATTGTATAGGTCCTTTTTTATAACTTTTCAACTTTTAACTCTTTTGTAGCACCGATACAAAATTTAAATAAAATGATAATGGTAATAAATATAATAATAATAATGATACTAATAATATTTTTATAAAATAGTAGTAAAAAAAGTATGTTAATTTTTTTCATTTTTTATTTTTTTATTTTTTGTTCAATCTTAATTTTTTGTTTTGAGCCATACTTCGAGTTTCAATATTTTTGGTATTTGGGTTGGACTTGATTCTGAATTGAACTTGTTGCTGAAAATTTTTTATATGTAAAAGTTTTGATTTTTTGTTCAGTTTTTTTTTATAAAAAAAAATTATTTTCATAAGCATCATAATATTTTCTTTTAATATATAGTTTTATGTGATAAGTTTAACTTGGATTGTTAATTTTTTTTCTTTACTTTTTCTTTTTAGAAGCATTATTATTTTGTTTTTTTTTTCTTTAGTTTTTATTTTTATTTTACTCTTTGTAAGTTTACTTTGGATTGTAATTTTTTTCTCCCATTTTTTTTTTCTTTTTTTGGGTTCATTCTTAATTTATTAGTTTGAGTCAAGGTTTCAATATATTTTGCGTTTGGGATGGACTTGATTTTGAATTGAATTTGTTGCTGAAAGTTTTTAATATGTTAATTTTTTTCTATTTTTTATTATTATTATTTTTAAAATTTTTGGTTCAATCTTAATTTATTGTTTTGAGTAATACATCGAGTTTCAATATTTTTGGTATTTGGGTTGGACTTGATTTTGAATTGAACTTGTTGCTGAAAGTTTTTTATATGTAAAAGTTCTAATTTTTTCTTCAGTTATTTATTTTTTATTTTTTTAAAAAAATCATGATATTTTCTTTTAATATACAATTTTATTACTTAATTAAATTGGTGCAATTATAATCATCTAAATCAAGATAAATAATCTTGATTTTGATATTATTTTAGGAGTTTAAAAATACATCTATCACTAATTGAATTCCTATTGAAATATTTAATTAATAAATATTATTTTTATCTCTTTTACATTGTGTTAATATTATGTTCATTGGTCATTTTACAGTTTTGCTAATTATATTTTATAGAATAATTTTCTAATTTATTATTGTAAAGATTTTGTATATTGTTATCATTATTTAATTTAGTAATCTGTTTATCTTAATCAATATACCAGTGTGATTATTTAAAAAAAATATTTAATTACCATTTGAGAAAATAATTATTTAATTATTTTGAAGAATATTAATTTTAAATAAGATTTTACTCACTGCAACGCACATACTGTTTTACTAGCAATAATAGATAACTATAACCTAATAAATAAATAATAATTTTTTTATGGTCTCCACGTGGGCTATTCAGAGCTCAACATATGTATACATATGAATAAAGCATGAATAAAGTACACTCAAAATTGCTCTCTAACGATTTCAGTAAGGGCATGGACCCGTTCGAGACCCAGTTGACTTGAAGACAAATTTTAGTCGGATCAACTATGGGTGCAAAAAAATTCCATCAAATTGGATCGAACAATTTGATTTGGTTTAGTTTGCTAATGGTTCGGTTTGGTTATGGTTCTAAATTTATAAAACTGTAAAAATACGATTTGGTCACGATTTAATATCTTTTGAGATCAAATTAGACTGAATTGAACCGCTATGTTATATATATATGTGTGTGTGTTAAATTATATATTATAATCCTGCAATTCAAATCACTTAGAAGTTTGTAACAACTACCAACTTATGATTCACTCTTAATTCTCATAGGTTTTATCAATTTATTAGATAATTCTTTTATTTTATTTATTTATTTATGTTTTATAGTGACTGAATTTTGAATTGTGCTTGACTGTTTGTTGTCGAATTAGTAATTCTAGATGTATTAAGTTATTAGTTGTAATATCCGTAATTTTAAATAATTTATTAATTAGTTTATTCGCATTAATTGGTTTTAAATTATTTATTTATGTGTATTTAATGTGATGTGTTTGGATGTGTCCAAATTATTTGGACTTTAATTTAATTAATTGTGTGTGTGACATTTATCTATTTATTGTTATTAAATGTTATGTGAAATTTATTTGTTGTTATTAATTAAATAATTATCTATTTTTATTTATTTAATTCATTTGGGCTGGACTTTGGACTATATTATTTACTATTGGGCAATGGGCTATATGGACTAGTCTATTATTACAAGTTGGGTCTATTTTAAGTTAGGCCCAACCCAATGTTAATTGTAAGTATTTCATTTATTAATTATATAAATACATATAAATAAATGTTATATATATTAGAGAGAGAGAGAGAGAGAGAGATTTATTTGTTTTATTTTTGTGGTATCGGTGTAAAGGGGAGGAATGGAATTGGGTAGCCGAAAGTGAGAGGGTAAAAGGGGAAAGGGAAAGGGAAAGGGAAAGAAAAAAGAAAAGAAAAGAAAAGAAAAGAAAAGAAAGAAAGGGAAAAAGAAAAGGAAGAGAAGAATGATGATAAAAGGAGGTTGGTTATAATTATTTTTTTGTGTTAGTGTATTTGTGAGATAAGAGAAGATTCGGGAGAGGGAGATAGATAGAGAAAGAGAGAGGTTGATGAGGAATGAAGAAGAAGTAGGAGAAGAGATCAAGTAGAAGAAGGTGGTCGGAGGTGACGAATTTTATTTCCAGCAAAATAGACTTTGGATTTTAAATTCTTAAGGCATATTTATACTCTACTCTACTCCTTTGAATTTATAAGCCTATCACTTTGATTAATCAAAATTATAGTTGTTATTTTAGTCTATCACTTGATTTAAAATAAAAGAATAGTTTTTATTTTATTTTGTGGATTTAAATTAAAATAATTTATAAATCGGATGCCATGAACATGATTATCCTTTGTAAAATTATAGATTTAATCATGGATATATATATGTATGTGGTGTTGTTATAATCTAATGGTGGATGTATTGTTAAGATAAAATTATAATTATATTTTATCTTGTGGAATAAAATAATCTATTAATTGGATTCTATATTATTCTTTGCAAATTCATATATATGCTAGCTAATAAGTTTAGACTCACTTTACCGGGACAGATTTTATGACTGTTGGGTATGTAGTTGATTATTATTTATGGAACCGCGTGAGCTGGTTAATAAGTTTAGACTCACTTTACTGGGATAAAATTTATGGCCGTTGGCTATGTGGCTGATTATTATGTGTGGAATTACACGAGTTGGCTAATAAGTTTAGACTCACTTTACCATATGAGACAACTATATAATTGTCGAAGTATGTGGTTGATAGATTGGTGACACCGCGTGAGCTGGCTAATAAGTTTAGACTCACTTTACCCTGTGGGATTACTATACGATTGTCGGGTATGCAGTTGATTATTGAGAATCTTACCATTGGGTAAGTATATTGATTATTATTGAGATTTTTACCATTAGTAAGTATATAGATTATTGTTAAGATTCTTGCATTTGGGTAAGTATATAGATTATTATAGAGTTTCTTGCCATCGTGTATTTACACTTACTATTTTTTATTACGTTGTCTATTATTTAATTATAGATTTACCTTTGGGATTCGTAACCCATAGTTCGATTATATATTTGTTGTTGGGATTCATGACCCACTGTTGGATTATATTTATTATTGGGATTTAGTTATCCATTGTTTAATCACATATACTATAGGGATTGGTGGATTAGTGTTTAGTGTATAGGATGACGGCGTATATGGCCGAGTGATGTATTACATGTATAGGAGCTATTGCTCGGTTAGATATTAGACACTTAACCATCCTATATGAGTTCTAAGTGGTCGCCGTCTATTCCTGATGTGGTTACCTATACATAGTGATCATCTATTAGTGTGTATATGTATGTATGACTACGTAGCTAGTGGGATAATTATTGGTTAGAGATGATTTGTTTATCGATTCTCTGTTGGGTTGTGGAAGAGAGAACTTGCTCGTGGGTTTGACCCACCTTTTGTTGTCATATTTCAGGTCCTTGTCAATTTTAGCTTCAGGGATGACGACTCAGCGTATTAGGGATTTTATTCATCTTCCACTCCTTTCGATTATTTTATTGTATGAGTTTTTCTGACTTTAGAGTTATTACGGATTTTGGTTTAGGGGTCCTCATATTAAAGGATTCCCAAGTTGTATTATTTAAAGTATTAAAGTGTTGGGTTTTATTTCAATAATTCATGTAGAAATCGAATATACTGTAATTAATTAAAGAGTAATTTAGATATCGTACCTGATTGATGATCAACGCACATATACCTTTTGAATATCTATGTAATCCTCTGTGAGTTCCTTATCGCCCTTTGAGATATCTGAAAATAGAGCGTTTTACCCCATTCTGAGAGTTGTCGATACGATTGGACTGAATAAGGAATTTAAAACCCTTATATATAACAACGATAGGGGATGACGGCTTCTCTACAAACAAGCATATCTAAGTTTACCTTCCTATCATGGAAACTTAGATATCAATGGTTATAATTAAACCACACCAAAAAAGTTGAAAAACCACAATCCAACGGTATAAAACCATACTCCCAATTAGACCACCAAATTGGAAAGTACAACCCAATCCATCAAGTATCAATAATCACATTGCAATCCTATTTTAGAAAACCTAGTACATAGGACCATAAAATAATTTTTATTATTTAAATATATATATAAAAATTCTAACAATCTCCCACTTCGTCCATGCACTCTAAGTTTTATAAAATGACATTATGAATTGCAACAACACTTTATAAAAGTCGAGTGGCCACTCATTTTAATTTAGAAAACACAATTATCGAAATTGATGGATTGAAAACTTTAGAACACTCTCCTCCATAAATTTCCTCAATAGTGGATCATGAATGCGTAGACAAGTAATATATTAGTCTAAACAATTTCATGGTCTCAAAATCGATTCCATCTAGGATTCAAGCAAATATAGTGGTTTTTACTGTATTTCATGAGATGTGCAAACTGCATGTGGTCTAAACGCACACCTCACTATCTGTCCTGCTTCATACCATCGCGGTATGTCACCTGAACATATTATAGCAAATCGCCAACATTCTGTTCAGTGTAAGGGTTTACCGATATGGAGCCAATCCCATATCTAGCCCAAGCTATCCTCGTGGAGTGTGAAGTACTCCCACAGGCAAACTTTAATATTTATGTTTGGATTTACTAATGTGGTGTCAATCTCACATCTAGTCCAAATAACATCATGAGTGAAATACCACTCCCAGACAAATCTTATATTTGGATTTACCGTTATGATGTCAATCTCATATTTAGCCCAAACAACCGTATAAGTGAAATATCACTCTCAGACAACCTTTAATAATTATTTTGGATTTACCGATGTGGTGTCAATCTCACATTTAACCCAAACAACCTCATGAGTGAAATACCACTCCTAGACAAACATAATAGCACGTGTATAAATCACATATATAAAGATAATAGTAATTTTGCATCATAACTTTATTTTGGATGCAAATAATTGTCACCATAAGGTGTAAACTGGAGGAAAAATAACTGTCACCACAAGGCGTAAAGAAACTAATTGCAATGTAGCATATACAAAAGAAATATTAGATATCATAACATAATGACTGTTGAACACCTATCCGAATCACGTGCTCTTTAAATACTTTATTATTTTCGGTTCAAGGCTTTAGTAAGAGGATTTGCAACAATCTTTCTGTAACCATATAGGAAAATCTTAACGACAATTCAACCTTAACCTTCTCACGCTTGAAAATGTATTTTATGTCAATAGGCTTACTACGCTTGGTCACCCTTAAATTTTTCCATATACTTAATTAATATAAACCTTTAGAGAAAGTTTAAGTATGCTAATAGCGTGATCCCTATGGATCTAATGCCAAGGACATACTCTACATACCCCACGTCCTTCATGTCAAAACTTTACATGAAATTTTTAATATTATGTATCACATGAATGTCATTGCTACCTAGCAAAATATTATCAACATATAGGACAAGGAAACCAAAATGACTCCCACTAAACTTGAGGTATATGCATTTATCCATAACATTCTCTTTGAACCTACAATTAATAACCACTGTATCAAAGTTCAAATACCACTACTGTAAAACTTGCTTAAGCCATAAATGAGCGATAATGAAAGAATGACTCTTAAAGAGTCCTTTAATGAAATTAGAGAAAAAACTTAAAGAAATTAACACTTCACTTTTACTTAAGCACTTGGCCATCAATTTTTGTCTTATATCCATCAAAAACCTCAAATCACCAACTACAGCATACTTCCAAACTCTAGAAAATTGAAACTAGATTGGAAACTGAAAGAAAGGTCTGCAAAGGAGAAATAATTGAAAGAGTAAGAATATGAGCTTTAACTGAAACCATTAAAGAAAGTGGAATGAAGCCTGGAATAAATAGAATAGATGCTGAAAATACCTTTCTGTAAAAAGAAACTACAATATCTTAAACTCCCACTGGATTCACCACTCTCATGAAATATGCATAATATATTCCAATAATCTCCAAAGGTCTACAGGACAGTAAAATCTCAAATTCTTTAATCTTTCAAGATGTCTAATAAAATAATCATTGGTAATGTGAGTATTAAGCTCCTTAATATCTGCATTATATAACTATGTCTCTATAAGATATCCATACACTTTCTATTTTCTGCAACTTTATTCTGTTCAGGAAAACTAGGAATGGTGTATTGTGGCACAATGCCCTACTTTTTAAGTATGTATTGAAAATACTACTATTTACACCCTCCTTATCATTATCCTATTAAAACTCACCACCTTAGTTTGATTTTAAAACCATAATCTTTATACCAACTACTTTCAACTTTAGTCTAGTAGATTTTACACACATCAAGTGCTTCGGACTTCTGGTGGATTAAGTACACAATCATACCTTGAGAACCAATCAATGAAGACAATGAAATATCTTTGCTGCAAACGAGCTATAATAAGAAATGGACCAAAAATGTCGGTATAAATATAGTTTAAAACCAAATGACTGACTAGCCTCAAAATTACGTTTATTAGCATTTGTCCTTTGACACAACCAACGCATAAAATTTGTGGCATAATAATCTTATCCTTAACCAAGCGTTCAAATCTCTTTTGAGAGACATTCCCCAATATCCTATGCATAACATAGATGAATCCTCTCTGACCAAAACACGATTTTATTCGGATGGTATCGAGTCAATTGAAAAACAAGAAGCAAGTAGGATCACGCCCGAATCCATCCATCATGTTTATACCTATATTTTTACCAAGTTAGGCTCAAATATTAATATAGCAATTTTCTTTCTTACTTTGTTTTTCTTTTCACCACAATAACCTTTTCTTTTAATGTCCTTTTATTTCTACATGATCAACATTTATCATTCCATGATCAATGTTTTTATTCTGTTTAGCCTTATTCACTTTCTTGCCGCCTAGTTTCTTCATGAAACTATTCTTACTATCACCGCAAGATAAGCTGACTCAGTTTTAACACCCTTGAGTCGTTTCCATTCAATAACACAAAATGCTAACAGCTGGTTAATGCCACATTTAACTTCTTGTGAATTATAATTCACCTTGAAAAGCTGAAAAACCTAAGTAGAGAATAGATCACCATGTGGACTAATTAACTTATTAGCAAATATGATTCTCTACTACCTCAGATCATTAACTAGCTTGCACATCTTATAGATGTACTTCCTCACTGAACCATTACCATCATATCTCACTAACATAATCCATGTCAGATAATAGTATTGTAGTTACTTTCTAATACCCATTAACTCTTTCTTGATCAAATCAAGAAGCTCCTTGGCAGTATCAAAACTAAAATACCACCCTGAATAGTATCACCAATAGAAGTATAAATTAATCTAATGGCATGGTAGTACTTGTAGTTCACTTAAAAAATGCAACAACTTTTCTACCTAAGAAGACAATGCACTGGGCATATGGGCTTCTTTCTAAAACAACAGACACGTAGTCCAAGAAATCCAATATAATATCAAAACCTGTCTTCTAGGCAGTATAATTTTAACCATTCAATGGTTCAATCCCTATAAGATATCTTTAAATTGTGGAAGCGTCTGTAACCTCAATAAACGTTATATTGAATAACATCACATAAACAACATATAATAATATATCTCAGTTTTAGGGATTATAACTTTATTTCGTGCTTGGGTTTTAAGCCGAACTTATCAGGGTGTTTTATATGTGCAAAACCATCCACCCTGCGAGAACAAATAAAATGCCATCTAAAAATCACCTTTTGGCAGAATTTTAGATTTTATTTTACCCCCAAACCTACGATCAAATCGCACATAAACCTATTTGATTATACTTGAATTATTGCTAAAGACTTCCACGACCTTTTGGCAAGAGAGTTATTTAGTTATAATTCAAGCACTCTCAAATATTCTACTCACTTATCCCACACTAAGACATTGATCACCTTTTGGCAGAACTAATGCCTTCATGTAGGTAAATGCAATGTGAGACCTCAATAAGACCAATGTCTTAAAAAATAATAATAATAATAATAATAATAATAATAACCTCCGTGAGCGTGTCATCTTTTGGCAGGCATCATCGACTTTAGCTATTACCTTTGAAATTGTCACTTTACCGGTCTTCCTAAACCCCAAGGAAAGACCTAAACTGTAGATGTTCCATTTTATTTATGTTCATATTTATTTAGTGCACATAAGCCAAACCCAAAATTATGGAACATTTAATTTCACTGTAATATAAATGGCTTTAATACAAATACAATAAAGCCTTCTCATACATCTTAAGAAATTACAGTGAATAATATAATAATAACATGCACATCAATCAAGATTTAAAAATCTCAATTCTATATATATTTTAATTAAAATAAAATATAAATACTTGATGCATGTATATTATATATTCCGTAAACAATTTAAAATAATTGAATCTTTAAATCAATCAAGTTAATACTGATTGCTTATGACACACAAGCCCATAGGTTTTCAACCTAAAATTAAACAATTAAAACTTGAATCTTTAAATAGATCAGATTAATAATACTCGATTATGGAACGCAAGCCCCATAAGTCATTCAATTTAAAATTGAACAAGTATGGTTAAACTACCACGCAACTTCAAATTAAAAAAAATAAAAAAAAAATACTTACTCATGTAATTCAAGATAAATACCTCGTAACAGAGATCTCAAATATACATTGTTTCTTTCTTTACCAATAAATTATTCTTGTAATATAACATGAA